TTAAATCAAGACATGCATCCACATAGCAACCTCAGAAAACGCATATCACGTGACCATTAACGTACACTGGGCATGCGCGTGACGGTGTAAACAGGAAGAAGATGATCTACACGCTGCGGTTGGTTTAGTTGCAGAACATTCGTGGAAGAACGACAATGGCCAAACGAGGGACCAGAGACTTTTTTGCTTGGACCGACGACGAGGTCGAACTGCTACTGAAAATCACACATGAGTATAAGGTGGTCAATGCGGCGCAAAATACGGACTGGGAGTCGTTACAAAACAAGTACAGCGACATATTGGACCGTTTCATTGAGCATTATCCCACGCCGGCGGACGCCATGCACATGGGAAAAGACTACCCACACAACAAAGACGAACTTACCAAAGGTATGGAGCCCCAGCTAAGTTTTGGCTTGAAGTTTTAAAGTAATAACGCATGTGCCTGTTTTTAAATGAAAGCATGACTGTTTTTTGGGGGTGCTGTTTCGTGTCTTTTACCTTCTTAATGTGTATCTTTTTTTTCATTTTGCACAAACAACCTTTGTTCCTGGGGGGGTGGGGGGATAGTGTGGTGTGTAGAGCGAAGATGAAACTGGAATGATCCAGATAACCACCCACAACTTAGCAATGCTTCATTCCAGTATATCTTTGGTGTTAAGTAGCTAAAGCAGAGTAAACTACATTTAATCAAGTACTGTAATTAATTACAATATCGAGGTACTCTTATTTCAGTATTTTGTTTGTGTATATCTATTTTGTGATACTTGATACTCCTACTTCACATTTGATGCCTTACACAACAGATATAAAAACAAGGTCTTTCTGTTTTGTGTTCACAGTTAAATTAACGACAAAGATTAAGGCCATACGAGTCCGCTACAGACAAGCGGTGGAATCCGGTAAAAAAAGGGGCCACGGACGAGTTCTTTTGCTGTATTTTGAGCTCTGCGAGTCGATTTGGGGAGTCTCTCCAGCTACCAGTGCCATTAGGGAAGACATCAATACAGAAGACATCAATACAGAAGACATCAATACAGAAGACATCAAGACAGAAGACATCAAGACAGAAGACATGGCAGTGGAGGTCCTGGGAGCCAACGGCAGCACCTCTCACTGTGGGTCATCTTCCGTGTCAGGTGGGGACAGAGGGACAAAGGATGCGACCTCTGCGGAGACGGAGACGGTGGTAATTCGCCGCCAGAGACTGGATGCATCCCTAGGTGGCCACAGGAGGGAAAGGCTAAAGAGGAAACTCTCCATGGACTCAGTGGCACGGGAAGATCTTGAAATTAAGAGGCAGCTCCTTCAGTGTCTACAAGCCACAGACGCCAAGCTTGTGGAGACAATGGGCCGGTGGTCATCCTCCATGGACCGCCTCAACACCAACATTGAGGTGCTGATGCAGCACATCATGGGATCTGGGAACCGGCCTACGACGCCACACTCATCGCACAACCAGGCACATGGACAAACACCTAGTGAAGTTTATTATGTTACTGGTTAGTTATGTTACTGGTTATTTTCTATTGTATATTTTATTCTACTGTAATAAAAGGTCCTTTGATACCAAACCTGAGATCTGACTCTTCCCAACACATTCACTGAAGCAGAGATGAATTTAGTTTTTTTTATTTTATCATTTACACACAATAACCACCAACTAAGATACTCTAATGCTACACGGTTATAATATCTACAACCTGTAGAATTCAGTCTACTTTGCAAAAGGTTTGTCATCTTCTGATAAATGGGCATCTACAGCAAAATACATCTATAACACATTATGAATGCTAAAAAAAATCCCATTTGTTGAGTAATGTTTCAAAAAATGAATATGCTACTGTCTAGCAAAGTAATCCTTTTAACTTCTACTCCAATGCTACACGGTTATTATCTCACACACAAAAATACTTTAAAAAAAGTTAAAAATCAGACATCTACAAACATGCAGATGGTGTGTTTTTTCCTCGTACGTTTAGATAAAGTAAACAATAAAATAAGACTGAATGCACTTTCTTCATCACTGGAGTGAGGTCAGCCAGCATGCATCAGATATTCAGGGTTTGTGTTGTGTCACTGTACTCTGCAGGCCCCTCTTTCGTACATCAGACTCAAGACAGATTAGGCAACAAAAAAAAAGCATTCATAAGGAACACTAGCAAATACAAGTCGTAATGCAGAGCAGCATTTATGCATTGTTCGCTAACAGTTTCTTTGTGAACCTCACAATAGTTGTGTAGCACAAAACAAGCATAGATGACAACGGGAAGGTCCTCCATGTTTATGTCCATTGCCCTCCTTAAAGTAGCAAATCTTGCCTTCAAACGTCCGAATGAACATTCAATCACCATGCGTGCCTTGCAAAGTGATAGCCCATAATACTGCTCCTGTGGTGTAACTCCGCCATTGGGGTATTCCTTCATGAGATACGGCATCAGGGGATAAGCTGGATCACCCAGCAGAAAAACAGGGACAGCATCTTCGCCCTCTATCAATTCATTGGGGCATGGGGGAATTGCTCCAACTTTTAGGTCACAACTAAATTTCGAGTTGGCAAATATACGCGCGTCGTGCACACTTCCTGGCCATTTCACAACAACGTCCATGAAACAGTATTTGTAGTCACACACAGCCTGTACATTCAAAGAATGTTTCCTCTTTCTGTTGATGTAGTCTGTCCATTTAGCACGTGGTTGTTTCACTTCGATATGTGTACAGTTAATGGCCCCCAAGCATTGTGGCATACCGTGTGTTTGGAAGAAGTTGACCACAAGGTCCCTCACTTCGGGCTCTGTACTCGGTTTTCGGATGTACTTGGGACCCAGGAAGACGGTGATGGCCTTACAGACTTGTCGGATGATGACTGAAACAACTTGTCGAGACAGTCCAAATGCATTAGCGGTTTTCCGGAGTCTGCCCTCATCACTCAGGTAATACAGCGTGCACGCTACCTTTGTAAGTACATCCACGGGCGCCCTCATCGTGGTTGTTGCTCCCTCCACATGCGGACGTAATATTTCGCTGAGGTTGATCAATGGCGAACTGTACATTCGAAAGTTTTCTCGCCAATCTTCGGGAATCAAAACTTCATTGATGAAATTATTCCACCAGGCGCTCGTTCTTCCTGGCCTCACCCAAAACCGGCACTCCATGTAGGGCTGATAACGCCTCTGGACACGGGAATTGTCGCGCAGCGCTCGAATAATAGCTTGCCTCCTTCGCATGTAGGCAGCAGTAGCATTATAAAATGCAGCATTTAACTGCATAACAGCTGCTAGTATAGACAACAAAGCAAGTAACGCTTGAAATTCGTTATCCATGTTGAAATGAATCACTGGTAGTCCTGGCTGTTTGTTTTCTTCCGGGATAGGGTCACGTGATAGGGATTGTGACGAATCAGGAAAGGACAAGTCATGACTGCTAAGAACCAATCAAGTAGCGAACGCGGGTGTGTGCATCATCGTTTCCAAACTTATCCGTTTTCGACCGTCCACACAAATACGCAACCACGGCGTTTTCAAACGTATCCGTCCTTGGGAGCGTTTTCAAACGTATCCGTTTTCGGTGCTCGAAAAAACGCCGTCGTAGTGTGGACATGGCCTCAGACAGATCACCAACTACAAGCCTAAAGCCCCCCACTCCATGAACGACCTACGCCTGGCAGATGAGCTGAACGACTTCTACTGTCGCGTTGAAAGACAATGGGACAGTCCAGACCCCATCCCCCGTTGCTCCATCAACCAGCCCCAGACCACCAGGTCCCCCTCCCCCAGCTCAGCAGGGGCCCATGCCTCTGTACCACCCATCCCAGTACCCCCCACCCTCACCCCAGTGACGACTCTCTCTATTCTGGAGAGAGATGTCAACAGGCTTTTTAAAAGACAGAACCCCCGCAAAGCAGCCGGCCCCGGACTCTGTCTCCCCCTCCACCCACTCAACTGAATGATCCGAGTACTTCTCCTACCATCCCAGCCTGCAGAGGAAAATAACCAGAGATATCAGTCAAATAAACAAAGTCAATGTTAAGGTTTAATTGGACTGGTTGATTGTAGATAGTCTGTCCAGGCAATTGTGTGTAAGGGGTTAAAACAAGACAAGAAGGTAAACAACAGCAATAGCAATGTTTTATTTTGCTCATTTAAAATGCTGATGCAGTGGGGGAAATACAGTAGAGAGAGATATTTATTACTGCTCTTTCTTTTTCTCTTTTTCTAAATCAGTTGTCAGTGAAGTAAAAAAAAAAACAGGACAGAAGAATTGTAGATTGAATCATTTTCTGCAAACGTGTAGGATATGTTATCAGCTGTAGTCTCAATCAACAGAATGAGTAATGCTGCATAATGTGTCCACAAGATGGAGTCAGTCAGCCTTCTAGTGTTTGGAATTGAGAATTCATTATTGAGAGCATTCTACATGTAGTGTAATTTAAATGTTACAATATTTAAGGAAGGCTCACTAGTCGTGCTAGCAGTGGTCAGCTGGGTTGGTAAATGCTGCACCTTTCTACTTTCTAATCAGGAAATCAGAACAGAGGAGGTTGTACTCCTCTCTGTGTCGACGGCTACTCAGCACACACTTTGTAAAACTCATAACTGATTTTGTGGAGAGGATTTCAATATTTTCCTGGAAATTGTTCAACATTCCCAAACTTATCTTCCCTTCTCCAGATGCTTTGTAACCCGAGTCGTCATCAACACATCATCAAATAGTAACTTTACTTGTTCCTGTTATGACGTATGTAGGTTTTAATCATATTCAGGATGTGATATGGAACATTTTCCCCCCGGGGATGAATAACAAAATGTTATCTAATAAATTGGTACACAGTTTGATGACTGAAATGGGAAAGGAAGTCAAAAGAGGGATTACAGCAGAAGGAACAGAAATGTGGAAGTGATCAGCAGCGAGTATATAAAGATCTGTGTGTTTCCAACTCTTCATATCATCAGCCATGGACAAAAGTGTGCTGCTGGTCCTGTTCTCTCTGCAGGTTTTCCTGCTCATCACAGCCTTCACTTCCACTGATGCAGCCGCTCTGGTGAGAGATGATCAGCGACTGCAGCCTCCTATTCTGGTAAGAAGACCTATGCAGGAGCTGGAAAAGCTTTGATTCTAATTGTGTTTTCTCTCAGAACCGTCTCAGTCTAAATGTCAAACATGTGGCTGAGAGAGAGAGAGAGATGTCAAACACGATTTTGTTCAGTTTGTATTGGCAGTTTTGAGTCACGGCACAAATCAATACCAGTGACTTTGAACACAAGTACTCATTAGAGCTGACAACACAAAATGATTTTGTTGTATGCGAAGGAAGTAAGTGAGCCCAAGAGAGGAAAGGAT